TTCGATTTAGTTTAATTTAATGAAATTATTCTAGTTTTCAGGAAGTGTAAAAAAGGTAATTAAATTACATATTAATTTGCAACTTGTGAAAAGCAAATAGAATTGCTTTCTTACACATTAAACCAGGCATTAGGAAAGCATTCACCAAGCAAACTGGTAGACCTTTTGCTAGAAGCTGTCCACAGATTTTCAACAAGCTGTAGAAAAAGCTTCCAGTTAAGAAGTCAGAAAGCAAATATCACAGAATTTTAGGTCTAATGTATAAATAGTTGCCATGAAGCTTTTGAAACCTTCATAACAGTTACCTGAAGGCCATGTGAACCCTTCAGGGAAACTTACGATTTTCGACTGGGATATAATACATATATTTTTATATATTTTTTAAATTATTCTAAAATATATTTTATAATTTTTATAATTTCTTATAATTTTTATTTATTTTACAATTTTCATGTTTTTAGAACGATATACTGCTCAAAGTACTCTCATTATTTGTCCGACAGTGAGACCTACAATTTATAAAAAAAATTTATCCCTTTAGCTCTTAGGGGAGTGTAGTCAGGATTGGACATATAGTTTTGACTTTTCTCTATAACTTCCCTGTAAGCCGAATTTTGAGATTTCTTGCATATGGTTCGAAAGATCTACTAAAATGTAATGTTTTTGCTGAACATTGTAAAAATATTTGACCAAAAGTTTCGGAGATATAGTCAATTAAAAAAAAAGTAGTCAGGACTAATAATAATTATGTAAGTAGGTCTGTAAATGTAGGTGTAAATTATTAGGTATTTGTGAGTGCTATTATAGGAAACTACACAGAAAAAAATTGAACTCAGAATGAGCAGTGTAGGCGGCTCATTTTGATGTGCAATAAAAATGAACCAGGTTGGTGGCGCCACTATCTATGTCGTTTAGCATTGGCTCATTTTGATTTGCAACAAAAATGAAACTAGGTTTTTTCTATGTATTTAATTTTTAGTTGTTAGTAGTTATTTCTATTAGTTGTTATAAGATTTTTGCATAATCTAAATATGTCGCTATCTTCTTTTTCTATTGTCCCTCATAACAAACGGATATCCATATCAATGGTCGATATCCTAGAATGGTCCCCAGGATATCTTGGGATATCCAGAGGTCGATCTGTGGGACATCAACAGGACATCCATAGGATATCCCTAAGACATCCACAAAATATCTATTGGATATTATATCGCAGGATATCCATGGGATATCCTCAGGATGTCCGTGGGATATTCTTAGGATATTCACGGGATATTTAATATCTCAACATATATTTTTAAAGGTTAAAATTGTTAAGCTAATATAATGAATAAAAATATAATAAAAAGAAAAATCTTATGAGCTTCTAATTTATTTTAAATGAAGATTTGAAACGCATTTTTCAAAGTTTTTAAATAAACTCATGCACTTGATGTATAATTAATATTAATAGTTATTCGTTATTTGCGGGGAATTTATTGCCAATTTATTTTCTGACAATATTAAGCATATGAATAAAGGAATGAATCACGAATGAGAAAAAAATTAGTTAATAATTTTTCAAATTAAACAACTTTCTCGAAAAACAAGTTGCATTTTATTTTATTTATTTATTTTATTTTATTTTTATTTATTTTTATTCTCTATAAGACGGACACCACCCATCGAACAGAATTGGTTTCATATTAAAAATTCTTTCGTTGCATGAAATTGTAGCTTAGGATGTGTAGTTTCATTTTCCGTGTGGTGATTTGTGCTTGGCACTATATAAAATCCAATATGGCGTTATAAATAAACAAAAACACCAAAGAAAAATCTAGTAATTACTGTTGTAAATTCAAAAAAGAGTTTAAATATTTGAATGATCCATATTCCTAGCTTCTAGGGGTCGCTGATTACGAATCCAAAGTCAAATTTCAAAAATTCAAAATGGCGGATCCAATATGGCGGACGAAAAAATTTATTTTATCAGATTTGTCTAAATCTTTTTACTCGGGGGTTTTCGAAGTTGCTGATTACGAATCTGAACTCAGATTTCAAAAATACAAAATGGCGGATCCAATATGGCGGACGACTTTTATAAAAATTGATTCAATTTGCTTGAAACTTGTTACTCGGGGGTTTTTGGGGTCGCTGATTACGAATCTGACATCACTTTTTCAAAATTCAAAATGGCGGATCCAAGATGGCGGATAACTTTTTAAAAATTGCTTGGATTCGCTTGAAACTTGTTACTCGGTAGTTTTTGTGGTCGCTGATTACGAATTTGACATCAGTTTTTCAAAATTCTAAATGGCGGATCCAAGATGTCGGACAACTTTTTTAAAAATCGCTTGGATTCGCTTGAAACTTGTTACTCGGGGGTTTTTGGGGTCGCTGATTGCGAATACGATGTCAGTTTTTAAAAATTTTAAATGATTGGTCACTTAAATTACGTCACACTATTTTCTACGATATTTGACCTCCCCTCTCTCACTTTTAGTATACAATAGTTTTTGAAATCTGAGTTTAGATTCGTAATCAGCAACCCCGAAAACCCCCGAGTAAAAAGATTTAGACAAATCTGATAAAATAAATTTTTTCGTCCGCCATATTGGATCCGCCATTTTGAATTTTTGAAATTTGACTTTGGATTCGTAATCAGCGACCCCTAGAAGCTAGGAATATGGATCATTCAAATATTTTAACTCTTTTTTGAATTTACAACAGTAATTACTAGATTTTTCTTTGGTGTTTTTGTTTATTTATAACGCCATATTGGATTTTATATAGTGCCAAGCACAAATCACCACACGGAAAATGAAACTACACATCCTAAGCTACAATTTCATGCAAAGAAAGAATTTTTAATATGAAACCAATTCTGTTCGATGGGGGGTGTCTGTCTTAAAGGGAATGCCCCTTATATATTTAATTCACAGAATATTCTCACTCGTAGTCTCATAATAACTTTAAAAACAGTATCCTGAGAATATCTTCTTGACATCCAGAAGATATACTGAGAATATCCTGATGATATCTGTGGGATATCCTGACGATATCTATGGGATATCTGAAGGACATTTATGAAAGTCTATAGAGATATCCAGAAGATATCCTGTGGATATCCTCAAATATCCATGGGATATCCAAAGGACATCCAAACCGCCGATTTTTTGGATATCCTTAAGAGATCCTTTTGATAACCATAGGACATCCCTAGGATATCTGCGGGATATTATCAATATATCCCAAGATATCTTGTGTTTTTAGGGGTAAGATAAGTTCATTTACAATTGTTTAGAAAAATAACTTTTTTCTTTTAAAATTATAAGTAGGCTATTTATATTTCTGTTTAACAATTTTCCTTTCAGGAATACCATTGTGGTTAGAAAATATTTTTTTTATTCTTATATTTTCAATTCTTATTCTTATTCTTATTCTTAAAATGTTTCATCCACTATTTTCATACAAGTTATTTTTAAGATATTATTTTAAACTCTTATCAAATTTTTATATAGTTTTAATCTTATCTATGTAAATCTTTTAGAAACATACGACGAAATTGTACATTTTTAGAAAATCATCAAATAACTTTTAATTCTTATTTTATTTATTTATATTAAACAATTGTTAGAAACAATTAATATTAATTTATACCTACTGCACCGAAAAATAATATTCTTGATTTAAGAGGATTTCTCTTATTTTAAAGCATATTTTCCTCTACAATATCATGTAGAATATCTCTCTTTCTTAAGATTTTCCTTGAATTTCATTATCATTTCTCATTATAATAGGAACTTAGAACATTGTAATCTTGACTATTCAAAATTACATATCCATTAAGACAATTTGAAAATAACATTGAGCTGACTTCAATAATTGAATCTCATTATTTATCATTTTGTAATTATAGCCAGTTGTAAGACTTTTGTTATGACAATCAAACTTTCCATATGTTTTCACAAGTTACTTATCAAATTTCAGTTCAAAGTGCATCACATGGGATGAAAGTTTAGCAAATGATGAAAGCATTCCTTTCATTTCTATCGGAAACCCTGTTGAATTCATTTTTACAAAAGATGACGGAGGTAGATTGAATGTACCAAATTTTTATTTTATATCCATTTTAATTATGTAATTTTTCCGGAAATTATTGAATGCAAGAGGAACAAAGTTTCATTGAAAATTTTTGGAAATAAGGATTAAATTGATTGAGTGTTATCAAAATTTCTGTATTTTTAAGATATTATTTTAAACTCTTATCAAAATGTTGAATAGTTTTAATCTTATCAATGCAAATCTTTTAGAAACATACGACGAAATTGTACATTTTTAGAAAATCATCTAATAACTTTTAATTCTTATTTTATTTATTTATATTGAACAATTATAATAAACAATTAATATTAATTTATATCTACTGCACCGAAAAATAATATTCTTGATTTAAGAGGATTCCTCTTATTTTGATGCATATTTTCCTCTAGAATATCATGTAAAAGGATTTCTCTTTTTTTAAGAGGATTATTCTCTATTTAAGAATATTACTCATAAAATAAGAGAAAAATACTCTCCGATTAAGGGTAGTATTCTTAATTCAAGAGGTTTTTTGCAAGAAGAATTTTCCTTTATTTTCAAAAAACTTCTTGAATTAAGAATACTACCCTTACTCGGAGAGTATTTTTCTCTTATTTTAAGAGTAATATTCTCAAGTAGAGAATAATCTTCTTAAATAAAGAGAAATCCTTTTACATGATATTCTAGAGGAAAATATGCATTAAAATAAGAGGAAACCTCTTAAATCAAGATTATTATTTTTCGGTGCAGTAGATATAAATTAATATTAATTGTTTATAATAATTGTTCAATATAAATAAATAAAATAAGAATTAAAAGTTATAAGATGATTTTCTAAAAATGTACAATTTCGTCGTATGTTTCTAAAAAATTTACATAGATAAGATTAAAACTATTCAACATTTTGATAAGAGTTTCACTATATATAAACCAAAGTCTCAAAGACAATTGGTATCAGTTGAAAAATGAAACTTACATTGTTAGCAGTTTTAGCTCTTTTGGTCACTGTCATGATGACAGGAGTCGTTGCCGATTCTTGCCGAAAACAAGGAAATAGTTGCAGTAGACACAGTCAATGCTGTGGCAATATTTGCCATAAAAGTAAGAACATTTCATTTACTATATACATAACAAGTCTAAATCATTTCTTAATTGATTATAGTTAATTCATTAGGTTTTTCATTTATTTTACAAATTTTTTAAATTTGAGATATTCAGATATTTTTAAATTTTCAGTATTGACTCGTAGTTGTTAGTTTACAAAATTCATAAGCTGAAAAATCAATTTTTTAAATAATTTTTAATTCGAGAATTAAATTTGTTTTTAATTGATCTTTATATCAACAAGCAAAATAAATTAATTGAGTTTTTTTTTTTGCAGATGCAGGAGTGCGAACACCAGTGTGCAAGTAAACATCATCACGAGATGATAGTATTTTAAGATGTTAATGGTATATAGATCGTCGTAAGTTTCAAATGACTTATGAAAAGTTTAACAACCAAAACCATTTACAATTTATTTTTATAGCCAAAAAATTGTTAAAAAATCAACTTTGTATTCATTTTTTTAATAACTGTTATAATATCTTACATGTACACTAAAGAAAATAAATATTTCTTTATGCATTAATCTATTATTTAATTTTACAAAACATTAGTTAAGTTTTATAATATATATATATAATATAATTTTTGCTTTAGAATTAGTAAAATTTTACTAATTGAGAAGCAAAAAGTGAGTCACTAATTCAAATTAGTAAACTTTTTTACTAATTCAGATTTAGAGAGTAAGATCCTTTATAAGATCGTACGAAACCTTATAAGGACATCTCGTAAGAAGAATCTCATCAGTGTCCACATAGGATCCCATATGGGATCGAAATTTGAAAATTAAAATTTGTGAATATCTCAAAAACGGTAAGAGATACGCAAAACCTGGCAAAATTTTGAGTTCATTTTATATAAAGCAAAAATTGTTTTATGATAAAATATGTCTCATATTTTTATTTAAAATAATTACTCATATGAGAAACCATAAGTGATCTTATACGGGATCTCATATGGGAATTTACAATAGGAAAGGGATTAACTGTTTAGGGCTCCACTACGAGGTTAATGAAAATTAAATAATACTCTGATAATTATTTCAGGTTATGTTTATTTTTCAGAAGAACATATAGTGTATCATTATATTTAATAAAAAATTCGAAAAAGAATTTTTATTTTTAACATTTTTTGAGGCATTACAAATCAAATTTAAGCAGAATTTGATGATACGTATTCATAGCTTTTGCAGAGTTTATTCATATGAACGTGTAACAATCTATACACAATTAAAATTTTATGTTAATTTCAACTCCTGATGCTAGTTATTTGCACACACTTCTTTCTGTTAATGGAATAAAGAAGACATTATTAATAAATTATAATACCTATATTAATAAATGGAGAATTAAGTTTAATTGATTTGCATAAGCTACACATTTCTCAATTTGAAATACTCTAAAAAAACCGTCTTTTCTGATAAGTAAAAATTAAAATAGATATAGTTTTAAATATTTTTAAGTCTCGCAGCTGTTTTTTTCAAATTCATGAATATTTAAAATACATTTTTAAAAATTTGGAATCTTGTAAATCTTGATAATTAATTTTTTAAACTAATTCAGACTGAATACAAAGTAGAAAAATTTCTTACTCATATCGCAACTGTTGCTGCAGCATTGTCTATGTTTTTTGCAGCTTTGCCCTTCCTTTCGGCAAGTTTCAGCAATGACTCCTGTCATCATCAAAGTGCTCAAAAAAGCAATAAGTACCAACAATAATGTAAGTTTCATTTTTCAACTGATAACAATGAACATCACTTCCATGGTTTATATAGCGTAAAACTGAGTAACAATTAAAATGTTTACTAGAATAAGGAAAAGCCTTTTTCCTCATTTGCAAAACAAATTATTTAATAAATATTAATTTTAAAAAATAAAAGTGCAATGTGTCTCGATGCAATCTTTATAATAACGAACTCTAATATTTAACAATGAATAAATATTAGCACTGTTAACCATTATCATATTCTACCACGGTGCGCCAGAAGGTGGTTTAAATAAAAATGAATAAAAATTCTTAGATGAATAAAAAACATTTCTCAATAGTTTTTAAAATCAGTTTACGTGTCCGATTTAAATAAAATTGAGTTTTTATATAAAAACAGTGTTTTATGGGGAATCAGAATTTATTTAATCTAATAAATACTGTAATAAATGATAAAATAATTACTTATTTTCAATTTTACATATAAATAATTATACCTTTAATTATCGCTCTATAAAAACGGCACTAAACGTGAAAATGATAAACATTGATTTTAAAATACTTTCTTCTCGAAAGACGGACACTTTTTACAAAAGCAGCTAGAGATCCTTATCTTATAAAAATTTCCTAAATCCTAAAGATTGTACGAATTCATACAAAAACACGATTGCAAAACGAAAAATAATATAATGAGGGGTTCATTACCTCCTGCCGCCGTCAGATGGCAGTAGCATGCAGGGCGCACAAAGTCGCAGCTGTTATTAGATTACTTTTCTACTTTTTGTTTTGCAACCATGTTTTTCTATGGATTCGTACAGTCTTTTGAATTTAGGAAATTTATAAGATGAGGATTTTGGCTGATTTTGTTAAAAGTGTTCGTGTTTCGAGAAAAAAGTATTTCAAAATCAATACTATTTCACGTTCAGAGCGATAATTAAAACTCTCTTCTTGCTAAAGAATTTCAGATACCGTTCGACACTCTTAATGCGCATAAATATAAAAACAAAACAAGAAAATAACTTTAATGTTAATAAATTTATATGAACCCAAATCTAAAACATCTATTATCTGTACGCATAGAAGTATACATTAAATAAATTCTGGTTTCTCATAAAATACTATTTTTAAATATTTAAAACTCAATTTGTTTTAAATTGGACACGTAAGCTGATTTTAAAATCTATTGAGAAAAGTTTTTTATTCATTTTAGAACCATAATCAAAAAGAATTTTTAAGTGCCAATTCATTTTTATTTAAACCACCTTCTGGCGCACCGTGCTACATATAAACAGCTTTAATTATAGTCATAATATTTTAGCAAATATTGTTTCCAAAGTCAAGAACGGAATTTTTTTATTTTGAAAATCGAAATATTATTAAGACTTATTTATAAGTTTAAAGGTAATTTAATTTTAAAATATTCAAAGTTTTTTTTATTTATATTGTTATTTAAAGAATATATTTTGAATTTTAAAATAACCGTAATATGTTAATATTTTAAATTCGAAATGAAAAACATTGTAAAGCAATTATTAAAATTTATTTATAATATAAAAGATAATTAATATTTTGTAAAATTAAATAATACAGAAATCATTAATGCTTTAATAAAATATGTATTTTCTTTGGAATAAGGTTACAATATTTAATAAGAAAAATCTAATAAGAAATGATTTTATAACATCTTTGTAGGCAATAGAAGTAAAATGTAACCGTTTTTTGGAAGATGAACATTCATAGGTGATGTAGAGTTAAATAATTTAAAACTCGCAACGGTCTATATTGCATTAACATCTTAGAATATTTTTATCTATATAGGAGCTATTATTTGCACACGCCTCTTTCTGTAAATAAAAAAATACTCAATTAACATATTTTGTTTATATAGATAAACATCAATTTAAAAACAAACTTTAATTATCGAAGCTAATATACATAAAATTACAAAGTAGTATATAAATTTATAAAAATTTAAATTCTGTAAACTAACAAATAAATGAATATCCTAATGAATTAATTAAAATCTATTTAGAAATGATTTAGAGTTGTTATACAGTAAATGAAATGTTCTTACTTTGATTGCAATTATTGCTACAGCACTGCCTATTTCGACTGCAACTCTGTCCTTCTTTTCGGCAAGAATCGGCAACGACTCCTGTCATCATGAAAGTGCCCAAAAGAGCTAAAACTGCTAACAATGTAAGTTTCATTTTTCAACTGATTCCAATTGTCTTTGAGACTTTGGTTTATATACAGTGAAATTGAGACGATAATAATAAATTAAAAATTGGGGGGAGGAAAATTCTTTATGAAATTTGCATCTGCAATAATAGACGTCAAAAAAGCTGTTTTGTTATTTATAATAACATCAATTCATCTGTAGCCAGATAAATATTATGACAATTGAGCAGAGATGTAATAAAATTTAACAAGATCAAAGATTACCAAAACATTTATGACGATTTTTTTATAAATTCCAATGTTTTACTACTGTTATGAATTATGTACACAAATCCAAATCTTTTACACTTTTAATCGCAATTTTTTAATTCATTTATTTCAGTTTTACCACACTTTTTTAAAAATTTTTAGATCTTTGGAGTTTTTTTTACTTTGGAAATTTTGTATTTTGAAAAAAAATACTTTTGAATTTTTAAGTTTTGGATATTTTTCGTGGCAATTTTTTTCTGTATTTTTGTACCCCAATCATTTCTGTTGTTATACTAATTTAAATTAAAAAAAAAATTATTTTATTTTAGATTCATTTTTAATAAACGAAAAATAAGAAAAATCTAAAACACGACCCTTAACCCCTTGGGTGTCGATGATGTGTATACACGTCATGGAATAGGTGGGCTCAAAGTGTCGATGACGTGTATACACGCACATAAATTTTGAGCCCAATAATAAGACGGAATTGGCCTAAAATTTGTTACTCGGGGGTTTTTGGGGTCGCTGCTTCCGAATTTGATGTCAGATTTACAAAATTCAAAATGGATACAATAATAATCACACCCATACTGCTGCCGTGTTTTCTAAAAACTTAGGTAACTGCAAAAAAATCGAAAAATGAGTTTTTTATATCGTTGGAATCGTGGAAAAAAGATACACCTGTTAATGCAAATTATTTTTAAAAATTTTTAATATTATTAATAATAATTTTTGCATAAATAATTGAAAATACCGGTAACTGCAAAAATTGATGAGTGATAATTTGAGAAACTTAGGTAACTGCTATAAAAACTTGGGTGTCTTTGGGTGTTGTGACGTATTTTGTAGGTCGTGATTTGAAGAACTTAGGTAACTGCACCAGTGCCTAAGTTTCTCAAAACACGGACCTCATTTTTCGAGCCCTCGTCGCATGGAATACTTAGGTAACTACAGAGTGCTATCAGAGCACTGTAGTTACCTAAGTTTTCTATGCGACGAGGCCTCGAAAAAGGAGGTCCGTGTTTTGAAGGACCAAGTAACTGCAAAATCTTATACATTTCTTTAAAATTACAATGTTTTTTGTGCAATTTATAATTTATAATGACAATAAATAATGAAATAAAAAACTTCAATACTATATATATATATATATATATAATTATACCTAAATAATAATTTATCAATTATTGAAAAATTAAGTATTAATTTTAATAAATAACATAAAAGCATTAATAAATTAAGAAAATGAAGTTCAGTAATATGTTTATTTTATGATTAATATATAATTAATTTAGTTCAATTATTTAAAAAATTAAAATCGTTTTTAATTATTTAAATAAACGTTAATAAAGCAGCGAACTACATTACCTACAATAATTTGACTTTAATATTGTATAATTAAAATAAATTCAATCATATAGTTTAATATTTGTAAAAAACAATAATTATAATGATAACTTTCGCATCTTATTAAATAATTACACTTTATTATTTATTATTTTTTTTTATTTATTTTTATTTTATTTCATATAATTATTTAATATATTTTTACTATTTTTTAATTTAATTTAATTTTTTTTTTTTAATTTTATTTATGTATTTTATTTTATATTATTATTTAATATATTCTGAGTTAATACAATATTTGACTCTAATATTGTATAATTAAAATAAATTTAACCATAAAATTAAATATTTGTAAAAAACAATAATTATAGTGACAACTTTCGCAGCTTATTAAATAATTATAGTTTATTATTTAATATATTTTTACTATTTTTTGCCCAGAAAGATGAAAATTCTTATATATTCCCTGCAGTTACCTAAGTTTTCTGTGCGACGAGAGGCCTAATACGGGCGCTCGTAGCACGAGGGACCAAGTAACTACCAGTTACCTAAGTTTCTCGTGCGACGACCCTCGAATCAGCATACCGGTAACTACATTTTTAATAATTTATTGAATGTTTAAACAAATACAACATTTATTTTTACATAATTAAAAAGAATAAATTTAGACGAATCGAAGGAACAAAACGGCATTTAAAAATTTTAATTAGGCTTTGCGGTATATATCAATGAAGTTTAAACAGTTTTTCGCGTTTTTCTCGAAATCTTTCATTCTGCAGTTACCTAAGTTTTTAGAAAACACGGCAGTACTATGCTATTTTGAATTTTCAAAATCTGACTTGAATATCGTGAACAGCGACGTTCAAAACCCCTGAGTAACAGATTTTAAGTAATTTTAATTAATTTTTAAATTTTTAGAAAATTATCTGCCACATTGGTAACGCCATTTTGAATTTTTGAAATCTGACTTTAGATTCGTAATCAGCGACCCCAAAAACCCCCGAGTAACAATTTTTAAGTATTTTTAAATCATTTTTGCCATTTTTTGAAAAATCGTCCGCCATATTGGCTCTGCCATTTTGAATTTTTAAAATCTGAATTTGGAATCGTAGTCAGCTACCTTAAATACCATAGTATACACATTTGCACAAATTTTGGTCATCCAAAAATTTACTGACATTTTGGGCCCACTTATAAGATTTTGGCCTCGACTGCGAAGGGGTTAATGCTTTTGCGAAAAGCTGATTGCCGTAACTATTACTGTTCAAGAAATATTGTAGAACAAACACGGAGAAAAATGATTTAGCTGTCGTAGCAAATATGCATTAGCTGAAATCAATTAGCTGGTTGTGCTAACGATTTAGCTGATACAGCAAGTTATTTGCTACATTTGATGAAAAGTATTATAGCTTTAATCCTTAGCTTCCACAGCTAAGGATTAACAAGTCCGTTAGTGTAAACCCTGTATCCATTTTGTTAAATGCAGTGATATATTTGTAAGTAAATATTAATTATTATTCAAAAATGTTGAATGAAGTACTAGTGCAGCTTCTCCAAAAATGAGACATGCAGAAATATATAAAAGGAATATTATAAAGTAAAGTATAAAGAAGTTTAAACAAATATATTTTAATTTCAATTAACATTTCAAGTTTCGAAAAAATTCAAAGTATTTCATAAAATATCTAAATATTTTGAAACTCGAATATTTTAATTGCAGTAAAAAAATAATTACTTAAACTCATTTAATTAATATTTAATTCAATAAATTGTTATTTTAGTCATAGGACAAATTATTTTATTTTGCTGCAAATGAAATAGCTAACGGAGCTAATCATTAATCATTACAGCTAATAATTTGCGCTCGACGTTAGTTACTGTAGCTAAATTATTATGTCTCTCTTAGCTAACAGCATCCAGCTAACACTAAATAGCAGAAATAGCTAATAAAATAGCTATTCATATAATAGCAATTAAAATTAGCTGAAATAGCTAAGATTTAGCTACCCGTGTAGAAATTTCCACATTTTGTCCAAGTTACCTATCAGGTCCTGATAAGGTTTTCCTAATCCGGCCTCTACTAATGAAATATTCTGGCCCTAAACAGGACCTGAAGTTGTGGGGCGAACCAGGAGCTTCATCACCCCAGGGTTTATGTACATTTGTTAATATACGTATTATGTTGAATGCATAATTTAATTATAATTAAAATATGCCGAAAAAGAACAGTACTCAGCGTGTTAAGTTGCATCGTGCATTTAAAAAATTGAAAATATTTCAGATCCCGTTCAAAATAAGTAAAATTCAATATGTATAATTATTTGCAACTGTATTATACTTCAAAAAGAGGTTATGTTAACTATTTGATGTGGTACAATTTTATTGATATGTCGATTTTACGAAGCTTTTTAATAATGAAAAAACATTAAATTTGAAAGATCAAAAAAAGTGTTACTTTAACTAATTATTATTTTAATGTCAAAAACAAGTTTAAAAAATAACCTCACATTTTTTTGTACAGTATTTTACATATGACTCTTGTTCGTTTTGACAAGCATTATTACTTTTTTTTATAATAATACTTTTACCATTATGAAACTCTGACTTGATAAATAAATATCAAAAATTTAAACAAAACTAAAATTTTGTACATATTATGTTCGGAATCCTTTGATTTAATTTTAAAGAAAAAATTATCTTCTGGGCTACATCAGTGCCCTATCAGGCCCTTATTTAAGGACTTCCATATGTGGATCTGATCGGGCGGTGTGTTTCATCCTAATCTGGTCTTGATCAAAGTTTCCATATCAGACCCTGACTAATCCCTAACAGGCCCTGATCGGGACCATAACAAAATTTCTACACCGGTATATAAGCAAACTTTTTTTCTCCGTGAAGTTTGTCAATGTATTATATGGCACCATCCTCCTCTATTTTAGCAGATATTATAAAATTTAATTATATTATAAAACTTAACTAATGTTTTGTAAAATTAAATAGTAGATTACCCAGGTGAAAATGATCCTCACGAATGACGTGTGGAATTCGTCCAAATTTCCTTAAGAATTCGTTTAGAATTCGTTCAGATTTCTTGTCGAATTCTGGAAAACGCCGTGTGGCGATTTGAAACAGAATTCGTCCATAATTTAATCGGAATTCGTGCGACTTTGATAAGAAAAACGAATACAAAAAAATTTTCTCTTAAATTTCCGACCGAATTTCGTACGGTATTCGTGCGAATTGCTAACGAATATTTTAACAACAGTTCGTGCGGATTCCTATAAGAAATTGATAGAAATTCGGAACGGAAATTTGGATGAAAAAATTTTTTAAAAAAATATTCGCCCACTTTTCCGACCGAATAGTGCGCGGTATCGTACGAATTACTAACAAATTCTTTAAATAAACTTCGTGTGGATTCCTATAAGAAATTGATAAGAAATCCGCAAGGAATTTTGGC